CACAGACACGTCCCCGTGTCGCACAGCACATGGAGCACACGCCAGGCTGTCCTGAGGCTCCTGGGACTTGGGTATGTCTTGCAGGGGAAAAGTTACTTACCTGCAGTCTCCTCACAGCAGTACTGCTGCTTCCAAAGCCTGAGTTCCTGGCAGTGCTCCCACTTCCCTAAGCCAAGCTGCTAGCGAGCGGAACACCTGAGCATGCCTCCCCTGACCACCAGCTCCCTCAACAAGCTTCCAAAGCAGAAACAAAGGCAGAACACTCCCAGAAACATCAGCATCTCAACAACAAATGTCCAGAGAAAGAAGAGAAGGAGGACTCCAGTTGCCAGGTACTAGCCACCACCTGTAAGAGCTGCTTTGTTGAGTGGGCAGGGTCACACCAAGCTCCTCAGCAGCTTTGAGTTTGCTCCTGAGCCCCCAGAAACATTCTCGGGGTCATTAATGACAGTGGGGCCAGAAGAGAAGAAGGTAACACTACACCCCAAGAGTCCCCTGCTGCCAACAGCACCTGGGTGGCACATCAGCAACCCAAGGAGGTGTCTCCTTCAGCTGCTATAAAGGAAGAGAGCTGGCAGACTGGGACCACCTGCTTTGGGCACAAGGTTTAATAGTGAGCCCATCAGACTGGAATATTTGGCTGCTGAAATACTGGCACAAGGTACTCACGAGTCTCTCCCAGTCCTCAAAGGCTGAGGACAACAGCTAGCAGCAGCATGCATTGTGTGACCACACTGGTCTGAGACACATCCTGCCATGGAAACTGCACTTGGCACAGCTGCACACCCCCAGAGCTGTCATGTAATGTAATACAGGCTGCATAGGGAACTTCTTACAAAGGTGTTTTCTACCCTAGGGATCTCTTTATGCCACACAATCAGCTAAATAAATACCAGGCACACATCTAATTTTAAAGACTACACCAGCAGGATCCAGGTGCTTTCAAACCGCCTATGCATTTTCCAAAAAGTGATTTTTACTCTCTCACCACAGCAGAGTGATGTTCATCAGCTGTCACTATAAAGCCATAAAGCTTCACCATCAAGGTCTAGGTGCAGAAACAAAACCCTGATAAGGACACTCAAAACCCAAAAGCATCCTATCAATGATGGCAAGATCACTGTTCTGATTCAGAGTCCAAACAGTGACACAGGATTATCTTGAAGGACAGAGCCCAAAGAGCAAACAGGACAACTGCCTTCCAGGTGATAACCTCCCCAGCACTCAGCCATACACAGATGACCTCCAGCTAATCTTGTGAGAGACAACAATTCTCTCTTCCCATAGAGAGACAGACAAAACCACAACGACAAATGTGGAACACCTATGATTATCCTGAATCATTCAAGGGCTGGTACAAGAAGTTCACCCATGAAGATGACAGAAATCTGAACAACACTGAAGCAGCAGTTAACCTGACAGAACCAGAGAAAGGCTGAGGCTGGAAGGCACCTCTGGAGCTTATATAGTCAGCCCTCCCCAGCAAAGCAGGTCAAGTACAGCAAGTTCAGTTACCCTTCCACCCATTCAGATAGTTTTCCATCTCATGACCTACAAAAGTTGGACATTTTTTCCACCTGTCATTTTTCATTACTTCCTTTCTGGAGGTTAAAGGGTTCCAGAGATAAAATGTGAGGCCCTGGGACAAGGAAAAACGCAGTTCTTAACTGCGTGGCACCGAATTAAGGGGAACATTAGAAGGGTTTAAAGCTGCTGAGATCTTACAGAGTTGCAGTTCCAGACCTACAAGAAAGGCTTGTGGGCCAGTGGAAGACAGTACTACGTACCTGGCAGAGCTGATTTTAAGTGTAGACACTTCTCAATCATAAAATAGATAAAATACATGCCCTCTGCATGTCTTGCTGCATTTTCCCACCTTAAGCAGAGCCTAAGGAAAAGGATAAATGAAGCAGAGTCTGGGGCCTCTCTACAGAGTCTCAGCATGGGTCCATCCTCAGCACTGTGTCCTTCAGCCAGCCCAGCTGTGAGCAGTGACCAGCACCTCACACAGCAGTAACAACACCCTGGAAGCGCAGCAGACACTTGACTAATTTCCCTAAGTTAATTCTGTCTTCCAAATCACTAGAAAGGCAGGACATGAGACAGACAGTTTCCTGGGTCTCCACCAACACAACTGTCTGAGATCCATTGCTGCTAATACATGGCAGATGGCGTGACATGCCAAGACCACTCTCGCTATGGACAGCTCTGAAGAGGATGGAGGAATGGAATCAGCTCAATTCCAGTCTCTAGTTTTCAGGAGCCAGTAAATCCCTTGGTAAGGCTAGCAACATTTTCTGACTGTTGTTAGGTGACTTAAGACATTGCATATATGAATAGAAGGCCTTGGAACCCCTTCAAGGAAGTCAATCGTTTTGATTTTGGATGACTGTGCACTTCTGCCAGCATCACAATACCTCTGCTTACAGCTGACACCGTTGCATAAGCAGCATCCCAGCTGACATCCTTTCCAGGTTAAGCACTTCATTAAAATTGCTCAAGAAACAGGTTATGCCAAAATTAAAATGATCCAATCAATCTGAATAGTACTAACTGCAGAAACACATTTAGTGCAAATGCAGCTGAACATACCCTGAGTGCCTCACTCCTTCCTAGGCTCAGCTGCTTCCCATGTCATGTGCCACAGGCCTTTTACAGAGGGACTCCAACCTCCTACCACAGCAATCCACAATGAACACTTCCAAACACCATGTGCCACAGACCTTAAAACACCATTAGAAGATCCCAAATCTTAAACCTCTATGCAGGAATGTGACACAGCAAACAAGGAGTATCACCAGTTTAACTGCTGCTGTCAAGCCCCACTACAAATCCAGCTTGCTACAACAAACACCTGCCTCCTATTTTTCTTACACCAGTAGGCTCCTGATAGACTGATCCATAGATCTCTTGGAAGGGTTTAGCAGACATTCAAAATATACAAAGAACAGAAAAAAATGCAAGAAGTGAGAAAGATTATTCTTTTCTGAATATTATCAGGACAAGTAAGATGAGAGCTAAAAAGCCTCTCTGAGCAGAGCACTAATTCTGTTATGGCATCTCAAAACATCTAATCTCTGCAGCTGAGACAAAGTAAATTTAGCAGTTAAGGGCTGAAGTCAACCAAGGTATCTATCAAGCCATTTAGGGAAACACACAGCAACCATCACTGAAAGGCAGCAACTTCACTTGCTATTTTAAGGACTTCTGTTTTCAGAACAGTCTCCAAAAACAAGAAGTACCTCTTTGTGCAGTATCTGAATTGATGTTTGACAGTTTTTCAAACGTTAAAAAGTCACTATAAAAAGTTGCCATTACTCAAAGACACTCAAGCAGATTTCAAATTAAGAACTTGACTCTTACCCTGTAATTTCCTTCACTTACTAACATTTTCCCCAATGGCATATTTGGGAGTGCCATGCTTGTTAGACCAAGGGTGTGTTTAATAACAAAAGGTGAGGGTTTCTTAAACTCTGATCCCCCCAAACACCTGCTCAGCTAACAGCAGGTGCTGGCTCAGCTGGGAGGGGTTAACCACAACATAACACTTCAGATTTAAGCTGCTCTTGATTATGCACAGGTTAATCTTGCAGGTAGGAAATGTCAATAAAACGAGGAAAAAGTGCACATATACGTCTCAGTAATATTTACCAGTCATGCTGCTGTCTCTGTTTATTCCATTGTGAAGTTTACAGTGAACAAACGCGGCATCAAATAACCACGATCCAAAGAGGTTCAAGATGCTGTTAACCTTTGGCCTGCGAGGAGCTGGTAGTGGCCGTGGCTCAGAGCTTGTCTGGTTTGGGCTAGAGAGTGGAGAAGTAGAGGAGGGTTGGTGCTGCACTTTTGAAGTATGTGCAGTAGTTACCTATATGAACAGAAGAACAAATCAACTCCTAGAAGCAAGGAAATGACTTCCTCTAACTGAGGAAACCATCCAAAAGGGTCAAGCAGTCAAATCCAGTGTGAAATCTTACAGTGCTGGTTTTCATGGTTGCTTTGTTGACAGTCACTGCCCGATGCCGGCGGTTGTGGGGGGGAGTGGTGTTGGTAGCTGTGTTCTGGGGCATGCTCAGCCTGTTCACGGGCGTGGGGGGGGCACTGTCTGCCCGGGGCCGGGAGATGCCTGCAGGTCCACAAACAGAGCAGCCTGTCAGCAGCAGTGCAGGGGCTCACACCTAACCCTGCACAGGTGTGAGCAGCAGAGACACTGATACACAGCCAAGCGCCCCCCTGACCCCAAACCAGCAGTAATAGGAAGAACTTTCCCCTTTTACTGTTAGAAAGAAACACACAAGCAAATGAAAACAGTGATTACATTAGAAAAGCAAATGATTAAAATACACCAAAGGACCCCAACATGTTACAGCCATGAGAACTGATATATGGGAGGAACTAGCCTGGAAGCAGGAAAAGGGCAAGGTTCATAGTATGTTAGGGGTTGGAATGCACCTTAGAGACCATCCAGCCCCAACCCCTGCCCTGGGCAGGGACACCTCCCATCAGAGCAGGTTGCTCAAGGCTTCATCCAACCTGGCTGTGTGGGCAGGGACACCTTCAAGTAGACCAGGTTACTCTGAACCCCATCCAACCTGTCCTTGAATGCTTCCAGAGATGGGGCAGTCAAAACTCCTCTGGGCAACCTGTGTCAGTGCCTCACCACCCTCTCAGGGAAGAATTTCTTCCCAATTTCCTCTTGTTCTGTTATTCCATGCTCTTGTCCAACCTGTAGTTCTCTTGGAGCCTCTATAGGCACTGGAAGGGGTTCTGAGCTCTCCCTGGAGCCCTCTTTTCTCCAGGCTGACAGTCTCACTCCACAGACAGGTTTTTTTCCAATACCATTTCTGGATCTGCTCAAGTCTCCTGCAGTCTCCCATCAGTTCACACTTCTGGCAGATGACATTTGTTTCCATACATTTAAGCAAAAAAGCAGTTGGAGACAGGCAGCTCTTCAGAGTTTACAACAGCATATTTTCCCTGAAGAAGTTTCAATAAGCCTGAAGCATGCCAAGAACAATGCTTTTAATGTCAGGTGCTCTACACCGTTACTTACAAGTGACCAGCCAGTGCTTACATCTGCTTTATCTGTCACCTCAATTTGAGCTCCTCAGTTAGCAGCAGACTCAAAGAAACACGACTTTTCTACTCAGCAGTAGTAGTCACCCACTAATTGCAAACTAAGTGAAACTGTCACAAACATCTGAAGATGACTGTCCAAACTCAACACCTTGTACCACAGGTACTGCACACAGCTGTTGCCACAAAGGTTAGAAACACAGCGGTGAGTACTCACAATATGTTAAAGCACAGCACTTGCACTGGTGATTAGACCAAAAGAGAAAAGAAGCCTTGAACTAGATGACCTTTAAGGTCTCTTCCAACCCAAACCATTCCATGATTCTATGTTTGGGGAAGAGATGGTTGGTTTTATTTCAGACTTCTGAGTGATTTATTTGTTTTGCATTTGAAACTAAGGCAATCAACCACTTCACACATTCAGATATTACTGTGGTGTATACAGATGTTTTAGGAGTGATCTGAGGTTCCCATCCTATCAATTCCAGAATATACTTGCAAGTGCTAAACTGTTATTGCTGTATTTACGGAGAACACAGATTTGAAGAGAACAAAATAGTGGTTAATACTCCCAGTTATCCATGGGTAAGACAAAAGCATTACCTAGGAATGCATCCACTAAACAGCTGATCCCACGCATGGCACGAAAGAATATTTGAGGCAGATGTTTAAGGCAGGGGTACTGATTCAGCTCTTGAGTCATCCCACTCACATTCAGAAACTGCTCCTGAAATTTGGGGGTAGAGCTAATAATGGCTGGGTTACTCAAATCCACAGGATTACTGCACACAAAGAGAGCAAAGGATGTGTTAGTCAGTTCAAGAACACCTGCCAAGATTTTAAAAATACTTGAAGATGCAGCAGTTTAAGGCACTGAAACACCACCACAAACCAGCATCCGATATCAATACATTTTAGCTGTTACTCTATCACAGGAAGGCAACTTTCACTTCCTGGGCTGGCAGTATTTGTCTTCATTTCAAACATTACCCAGACACACTGAATGATTTGATCAAACTAAACCAAACCAGAGCATACACTTGCTGGACTAATCCCACTGTCGCAGTAATATTAATTATTTATGAGGTCTTTGGAACCCAGTTAAGAGATCCTTACATTGCTAAAGTTATTCTGGAAAGGTAAGCAATGGATTAAATATTGCCAAACAGTGACAAGAAGGGGAGTGGGTTGTAAAAGTCTTAGCAATTTCTCCTGACTGACACAAACCCTAAAACAGCAATTCCAAATTTGAAGAGTACTTGTGACATTAGCGCCACAAAGGAAGACAGAGATTTTTTAGTTAGAGAAGAAGTAAATTTTAAGCAGTCTAATGTTTATCTAGCTTCAGCTATTAATTTTTTACACAAAGAGTTGAATGTTCTATCCACTCAGAGCATTAGCACAATGCCATTCACACGGATCTTTAAACACCAAACACAACACTTGGTTCAACATGTATGTTACAATTAGCTGCATAGCTTTCTTCATGAAACTAAAGAAGAAACTAAAGAGAAACCCATTTTAAAAATAATCTTTTGTAGGTTTAATTTAACACCCTTGAGAATAAATGGAAGTGGTATACATCTCTCAGACCTATTGTTCTGCCTTTCCTGTTTGCTATCTCAGAGAAACAAAAGTTCCATTGAACTCTTGTTTTTCAGATCCTCCAAAATAGCTAAGGTAGCTTTTAATTAACTGAACCAGTTTACATTCTGAAGAGTCAGAGAGTTCAGAGTTGAATAACCCCCTGACAGCCTCGCCCTGAGGTGCTGCAGGGCACTGGCACAAGTCTCTCACTTGACTCTACTTAGGTGCTTCATCCTGGCAATCTCCAGAGAAATGTTTCTTGTGTCATGCAAATGTACAGAGCTGATGCAAGAACAGGAACAATGGATGCTGTAATTACAATACCTCAGCATATGTAAAAAGCGAAACCAAGTTTGTGCAACGCACTCATTATCCATTTCCAGAGGAATCAGACCAGCATCTTCATCAGGAATCTTAAACGGAGGGAAGGAAGGGCCGTAGGTAAAGCGCAGCAATCTAGGAAGCAAGGCAGATACATTAGAGACTCACAGAATCACCAGGCTTGGAGGAGACCTCCACCATCATCAAGTCCAACCACTAACCTGTCACTCTGCTGTAACCATATCTTTCAGCACCACAACCAGACACCTCTTAAACACTCCCAGGGTTGGTGACTCCACCACCTCCCTGGGCAATATTTCAGTGCCTGAACACCCACACAGGGAAAACATTTTTCCTAACATCCAGTCTGACTCTGCCCTGGCTCAGCTCAAGGCCATTGCCCCTGTCCTCTCCCTGCAGCCATGGCAGGACAGACATCCCCCACCTCTCTCCAGCCCTGTCAGGGAGTTGGAGAGAGTCATGAGGTCACCCCTGAGCCTCTTCTCCAGGCTAACCAACCCCAACTCCCTCAGCCCTTCCTCATACAGCATGTTTCCTAGACCTAGATATGTCATTCAATTCATGCTCCACAATCTAAGAGTGCATTTGAGACCCAAAGGTAGCAGCAGCCCATAGATGAGCCCACAGGCAACAACACAACATCCCAAGCTTTCCTACAGATCCTCATTTCATTCTTGTGCCTCAAAGGGTGCACAGCTCAGAGCCTGCCACCAGCCAAACCCAAGAGCTGGTAATGCATAACAGCCCTCGCTCTCCCATCGCTCAGCCAGAGGGGTCACCAGCTGTCAACGTCACATGCATAGATGACAGGACGTAGCAAGAGAAGAAAGAGGGGGAGAATGTAAAAAAAACCCCAAAACCAACCAAACAAAAAAACCCTAAAAAATTAAAAAAGAAGGAATTTAAGCCCTTTTCTTCACGGCGCTTTAGCTCAAGCTAAAGTTCAGTGACACCAGCAAGTCCTATTAGGTTACAAGTCTAAATTCCAGCCCAGGACTCATGACCTACACTGTACACCAGCACACTGAGCACTCAGTGTCAGCCTACAGGTAGCACAGGATTTATAACCCAGATTAATGAGCTCTTCAAAACACTATGTTCTCCAGAAGCTGGGAGCCAGTGAAGAGCAAACCTGCAGAGGAGTTCACAGAGCTGCAGTGCCATGAGGACACGGCTCGGGTAAATGGAGATCTTTAGTGCTGTAATTACATGAAGAGTGACCAATGACCTTCACTGAGCTGTTGCTGGCTAATCTGACCCCTGCTTCATCCCCAGCTTTGACAATTTACAGTTGTTTCCCTGATCAACATAATCTTGGTGTTCTCTAAAGGGATGGAAGAGACCTACAGTGCACCTTCTCAACATCCCAGCATTCCCAGAAAGCAGTTTGTGTCTTTCAAACTTGCTTGGTCAAGAAACGTCCCATGTACCATTGCTCACTTATAAAGCCATATAGCTTTATAAAGTCAGCACAACTAGACGGGGAGCAGAGAAGTAGTCTATGGCTGACTCCTAAACCAAGAGTCCAGCAGGCTGAATTCCCCTCTTTCGCTTCTCCCTGCACTGGGCACGACAGTAACCTGCAGCCAACAAACAGGAGTGTGCCTGCAATCACAGCCTAGCACAGTATCCAGCCTGGGCAGAAAAGCAAAAGAGCTTTAGGATATGAGGCCTTCTCTAGGTCCAAGCCAGATGCTGAGGAGCACACTCAGTGCAGGCAGCTCGGTGTGCAGCTGCAGCGGAGCTGCAGGTTGAGCTCTGGGTGGGACCTTGAGACAAGAGGCCCTGAACTGCTGACCCCATGCATAGCAAAGAGCACAGGGGCCTGTGGCAGAGCCAGGTGAAGGACATTGAGAGACACAGCAGGAAACAGAGACTCAGAGGAGGAGCAGAGACTTGCATGCTGGGACCATGAGGGGCTGAAAGCCTAAGGGCTCCTTTCATGGGGTCTCTCCTCAGAGGCACCAGCTCGAGCTACTGCTGTGTTACTGTGCCAGGAATAAATTACCATATGGAACGAGACACCTGACACTGCTATGGGAAACCTGGGGCTGAGCTGGTAAGGAAACCTGGTCTGACTGTGAGTGTGGGGTGTGGGGAGTCAAGCAGGGACCCAGGGGCTCACTGCAGACACCCCTTGAGAAGGGGCTCTGGCCCCAGCGGTGAAAGTCTCTGGTGGTGGGAGCACGACTGCCAGCGCCTCCTGAACGGTCAGACACGGAGTTTCCTTAACACCAGAAATACACGTGCCCAGAGGCACTAAATGTGATAGGTTTTTGTTGAGGAATTACCTGGCTCTGATAAACCCAAAGGAGCCTGGGCACACCCTGCACACAGTCCTGCCCCTCGCCACTGCCTGGCAGCACACTGCACTGCTCAGCTCTCCTTAGGAGCTGCACAAAATCAGTTCTTCAAAGAGCATGGCCAAATCTTAATTGAAATATGGGACATTTTCAAGAATAATTGAAAACAGAAATAAATTGTAGGCCACACATGCAAGACAGTTAAATAAAGCAACCTAGATGGGGTAAAAGTAGCATCTATTGGTATGGCAACACAAGGATGACCCCCGTTTTGTCCTGCTATGAAATCATAGCCAAGGACACAAATTAACACTGCATATGTGCACAGAGTTCCAAATAAAATTTTCCATATGGTTTCAAGTGGAGACATTCACTCTCAGCTTATTGCTAATAACCCAATGCAGAGAACCATTTACTGAAACACTTGAAGTGTTTGAAGCTGGAGCTTCACTGAAGTACTAAAAATGTAACTTAAAACACCACTGAACTCAGAGTCAGCCTCAGAGGAACTGAACTTTCCACGTATCAGGCGCAGACCAACACCACTGAACACAGACTGAACCTTTGAGAAGCCCTGCAGATTGCTGAGCACCAACAGAACCAAGACTGTTAGTCAACAGTGGGAGAGAAACCGTGGGCACAGCGCATGGTGCAGCACACCAACGCACGTTTGGAGACAGAGCTGTTCTTTTCAGATCACTGAATCATGAAGTATTTCCCGTTATGCAATGCCACATCTAATGAACCAAAAATAGCTCAAGAAAAAGCGTGGGAAATAGGCAGAACTCGGATTGCAGCTTCATTTCCCACAGGTTGAACGTGTCGCTGAATAACCTGGAAAAATCTATCCACACTTCAAATTGTGACAAGTCATTCAAAGCAAAAGTTTTCAGAGTTAAGATAAATCCTTGCAGAAAAATATACTATTGAATATTTCACAGTGGAGCTATTTGAATACGTCTTGGAACCTTCACAGCAATAGTTACTGACACTCCAGCACAGCTGGGGGGAGGAGACCCAGACCCACCTAGCACCAGTGAACACAGTTCTTTCCTTCAAGAGGCTGAGATTTGTCCAACAAATATATCATAACACAAGGACCTTGGTATTAAGGGTACTGAGACTCCCCTCACTGTTCAGGGCCTTCTGCTGCAGCCCAAACTCTCCAGCAGCTCCCAGATCTGAGTGTTCCCTCAGTCAGTTTGCAGGCAACAGCAAGGTGAACAGAAGTTGCTGACCTGCTGGATGGGAGGAAGGATCTCTAGAGGACAGGCTGGACCAAGAGGCTGAGACCACTGTCTGTCGTTCAACAAGGCAAAGTGCCAGGTCCTGCCTTTGGCTCACAACAACCCCACGCAGAGCTACAGGTTTGGGGCAGAGCAGCTGGAGAGTGGCACAGAGGGAAAGGCCCTGGGGGTGCTGGTGATAGTGCCTGGACATGAGCCCAGGGGTGCCCAGGTGAGCAAGAGGCCAATGGCGCCCGGGCGGG